TCCATTCTTCACGAAAGATGGATAAAAAGGCACACAGGAAACAAAAACCTTGAAAAAATGATAAACGACCCCACCAAATTCAGGCCAAATTACAGAGATGCCGATTCACACGGGACTAATATTATCACAGGACCTCGGTGTTCGGCGAAATATGGTAGGTCATTTGCAGGGGAATTTTTACTTTAGAAATTACAGACATAACTGATTCGCACAGGATTAAGATCACAGACAACCTCCACAATTATTACAAATGACTAGAGGTCCCCAGGTAATACTAATCCCGTGCGAATAGGGCTATTGACAAAGTCTATAATGTCTATAATTGACTGATGTCTATAAAGTCTACAATGACTATGAGGCCATAATTATGACTTATCTCATAAGTGACTTAGTATGTCAATTTCGACTTCCATAACTTAGTATGTCAATGTGGACTTTTTGTCATAATTTTGAGTTTTTATCCCATAATGACTTCCTATAATTTTGTAAAAATTATGATTTACCAAAGCACTATTTTTTTTATGTCAGAAATGGGCTTATCCGTTTATTTACATCTGATGTCTATAAAGTCTACAATGACTATGAGGCCATAATTATGACTTATCTCATAACTGACTTAGTATGTCAATTTCGACTTCCATAACTTAGTATGTCAATGTGGACTTTTTGTCATAATTTTGAGTTTTTATCCCATAATGACTTCCTATAATTTTGTCAAAATTATGATTTACCAAAGCACTATTTTTTTTATGTCAGAAATGGGCTTATCCGTTTATTTACACTTCTTTAATATCTGATATTTTACTTCAGTTATATAATCTAAGTTGACATATACACAAAGCTGCTGCTTTCTGTTTCAAAGGTGCACTCAGTAGTTTTTTCCCTTCATTAAAACGTTTCTACACATAGAATTGTATTGTAATGAACTGTAGTTTTAAAAAATGTGCTTAAAATCATCACTTATCTCAAATGAATTCATCAGTCATATCAGTCACCCAAAAGCAGTTTTGTTTTACAGCGGGTAAAATAATTCTGTGGGCCTCTTCCATAGATTTTCTATTGGATTCAAGGATTCGAGTTTCCTTGGCTGTGTGTTTGGGATCGTTGTCTCGCTGGAATGTCCACCCTCATTTCATCTTCACCATCCTGGTAGATGGCAGCAGATTTTTATCAAGAATGTCTCGGTACATTTTTCCATTCATCCTTCCATCAATTATATGAATTTTGCCAGTGCTACACCATGATGTTTTGGGCTGATGTGCAGTGCCATTTGACCTCCAAACATGGTGTGTATATTATGGCATCCAAAGAGTACAATTTTTGTCTCATCTGACCAGACTATTTTCTTTGAAACAATTGCACATGCTAATTCCAGGTCTTTCTGAAGCCCTCCACAAGTGGTCCTTGGCTCTTAGACAACTCTTATGATAATTATTTTCACTCCTCTGTCAGAAATCTTGTGAGGAGCACCTGGTCATGGCTGGTTTATGGTAAAATGATGTTCTTTCCACTTCCGGATTATGGCCCCTACAGTGCTCACTGGAACATTCAGAAGTATAGAAATGCTTCTGTACCAAATGCCATCAGTATGTTTTGCAACAATAAGGTTGCGAAGGTCTTGAGAAAGCTCTTTGCTTTTACCCATCATTAAATGTTTCTTGTGTGATTCATGTCAACAGCACCTTTAGAAATATATTTACTGAGAAAAATGGTGATGTGTTCAATACTTATTTTACAAGCTGTACATGGAGAGGGTCACCTCATGAGATCCACCATTTTGGGGTCACATGACCTCGGTTTGATTTTGGCAAGATCCCTGTTATCTGAGAAATTCCTGATATGCCTGACTTCGAATTGAGCATTTTTATAATGGCATCGGTAATTTTTTGTTTACTTGGTATGGCACTGCATCCACACCACTAGGTGTCAGTATAAGCACAACATGAAAAAAGACTCAGTGCACCTTTAAATCTCCAACACCTACATCTGCACACACATGCCCTACAAAAACACATCACACAAACCAAGCAAAACTGAGAATAAGCTTCATGCATGTGGACATCGCACAGGAAATCGTCTTTTCACAAGCCCCAGCTGATTTCAGAGCTCTGCCACATTGGTGGTGAACTGTCACACCAGAGCTGACCAGTAGAGGCCGACACTGGACTAGACACAGAGAGAGCGATGACCATGTGACTACAGCGTACCAATGACAGGCATCGCAACCTAGGGGAGGGGAGAGGTCGAGGCGATGGACACACTACCAGCATATACACGTGCCTGCCCAATGCCACAGTGATGAGAGAGAACACGTGCGTTCATGCCGAAGTCACATGGTGAATGACAGGTGTAGATGGACAGGTCGACAAGGTGACGGGGTGGAATGAGAGGTGGGGTTTTGGTTACCGTTGGTCCGTACCATTGGTCTTACCACAGAGGAGGGGGGAGAGGAGGAGGGGTCAGCTGGCTTTAAAGAAAGGCAGACAGATGAAAGCTATAGCAGCGCCAACCACCCACTGTACACCTGTGTGTGTTCGTGTGGGAATTTGTGTGGAAAAGTGTCCGTCAGTGTGTTTTGAGGTACATTTGTTGGGTCTTTTGCAGGGAAGACGACTCATAGCACGTCTGTCTTTCTGCCAGCTGAGGGCGCTACAGCACATGGTCCATTTGAGGAGGAGCCATACGCTGTTCTGCAGCCGCAGACTGGAGGATGGGTTGGTGACACACGCAGACACATGCACAGATTCGACATCTCTCACGAGCCGAGTCGAGAATTTCTCAGCAGGTCTATCACGGTGTGTGTGCTGCAGTGAGTGACTGCATGTAGGTGTGTGTTTAATTTCTACATGCAGAGAGACTGATTTCTAAATCCTCTGCAGTGCCACGATAGACTAAAATGTCTGACTTAGTTTCATGCTTTTAGTGGCGATGACAACTCGATTGATTCAATTCTGTCTTTGCGGTAAAACTGCAGAGGATCTGGCAACCCCAACCATGCATGTAGCACACACATTACAGAACTGGGTCAACGGTATAACTCGTTCCAAATGTGCATCTGTGAGACAGCTACCATGATAAAATCTCCACACAGAGCCACTTTGAAAGGGCCGCTCCATATCACAGATATTATCTCACATTGCACAAATATACAGATTTGGCACACACTGGTAAACACTGCCCCCTGGAGGTTACAATCATGCCCATCAGCGAGAACTTCAGTTGTTAGGTGAGTCATGAAAATAAAGGTCTGGGCCATATTTCACCCTAAACTCAAACTTAAAAATAAGAAATAAGGACCAGTACAATTTCTTGCACTGTTGGGTTTAAATGTGATTAACTGTCATGAAATTAATATATTTTTATGACAATTAAGCGCACACCTCAAATTATGAGTAGCCTACTGCAATGAAAAAATATCCTACCAAAAAAATAAATATAAATAATTAACTATTATTATTATTATTAACAACAACATTATATTATATTATTTACATGAGAGCTTATTTTAGAACTATCAAGATGTCTTCAGTTGGAGGCTTTAAATGTGCTTAATTGTCATGAAAATAATATATTTTTATATTATTTTTTAAAATAATATTTTTGTTTTATGACAGTTAAGCACATTTAAACCCACTTCCCCCACCTATGAGAAAAAAAATAAATACATATTGTTTTTTATGTATTATAAATAATTTAATATTTAATGTAGAAGTATAAATCATTTGCGCTGTATTTCATGTAAACCACTGTGTTTTGCCAAAAGGATTTTCATTAGTACTATGTGTGCGGATTTTCTGATGAAAATTAATATGCAAATATGCTTAATTTTTTCATACAAAACATCATTTCATGAGATCACCCTGTTAGTCAATAGAAGTTACTTGAATACATCATAACTGGCTTAGCCAATTAAGTTCAGTGATTGTGGTCCTATCAGCCAGTCAACAGCTAATGACACAGGGAGCAGGCCTACCAAGAATGCTGTGCGGGTGTAAGAAAGAAAGAGAGAAGAGACAGAGGAAAAACACTGAAAAAAGGGAGGAAAATGCAGAACAGAGAGACAGAAAAGAAGAGGCATTCATAGAGAAGGATGCAATGTGGCATCGTCAGCAAGACAGAGCTGGCAAACACTCCCATCTCTCCACCCCCCGCTTCTGTCCAATCAGACACCGCGAATCAGAGAGCGCCTCCAACAGGCAGGGAGGACAAAGCACTGAGAGGAGCAGAGCGGCCTCAGGGGGAGGAGGGGTGACATTAACGCTTTTCTAGGGGAGAACAGAGTCGTCCGGTTCCACTCTAATCTCCTTGTAGCACTGAGAGGAGGGACTGGCTATCAGCACGGATTCATCAGTTTCATTTCAGATCAGTAATCAGATCAATTAACAGGTTAATGAAGCATGAGAAAAAAGTGCTCAGAGTTTTCTCAAAGGAAAGAAAAGGGGGAAACAAAAACAAATCAATCCAAACACAATGCTGGGTCAAAGGTCATGCCTTCAGATCAAATCAGATGCTGGATGAAGAGAAAACTCCAACCAAATCAAACCCAGTCAGTGCTGAAATGGATGTGTATAGCAAAACAAGGGGTATATCTCCAGCATAACGGCTGCCAATCATAAATAACCTTCATTAACACATTTTGATCAGAGAGCCCAAATCATGAATGAACACTTACATGGAGCTGTAGTTTTGTATCTGAAATACACCATTCAAAATTATCATATTGATTGATTGTAATGTATCTTGGTATCCACAAAAATATTAAGCAGCACAGCTGTTTCTAGCTTTGATAAAAAAAAATTGTTACTTCACCAGCCAATCAGCATATTATAATGATTTCTAAAGGATCATGACTGCTGAAAATTCAGCTTTGCCATCACAGGAATAAAATAAAAAATTTAAATATATTAAAATATAAAACGGTTATTATACATTGTAACAAAACAGTTATTTTAAAGTGTAATAATATTTCACAATATTACAGTTTTTACTGTATATTTTAAATAGCCTTGTTGTGCATAAGAGACTTCTTTCAAAAACATTACAAATTTTATTGACCCTAAACTTTGAAATAGTCATTTTTAATAGTACCTTTACATCAAAACATATTGACAAAGTGGCAAAGTCAAGTCTGCCACATATTAACTAAATATCTAAAAATGAATCTAAAGATGCATTTTCACAGCATGCATAACACACAGATGCAATATTTTGACATCCAATTCTTTACATCTACATTTTACAAGTGACGATTTCTGGTTAAACCCAGCCAATCTAGCTGATATATAACAAGTTGAAGAAATATTTTGACCTTACATGCGCTATTGCTGTTTGCACACATACAACAAGACTGTACCAGATCGAATTGGTTGCCAATCTAAATGAAAACTGAATACTAAACTATATAATTGGATACAAAACTTTGAAATTAGCAGCAATATGAAATACAAGTTTCTTCTAAAGAGAATCTGGGCTCTTCTTTCAAAATCAGTTTGAAGGTTTATGAATTGATTCAACAGTAAAGAAACATTATAGCAGATTTTAATGAGTTACAGGCAACATTGATAAGATTGACCATCCATCTTAATGTAGCGATTTCCAAAACAATTCATCAGTCTATATTGATTGTGAAGCCGGAATATATCACCCTGAGCGCTATACAAGGTCATTCATGCCTATGTGTGCGGGTGTAGGGTTAAAGCAACTCATCTTTGTTAGTGTGGGAGGGTTAGGGGGGTGCAGGCAGGCAGATTGAGAGAGAGAGATTACTTACGTTAACCTCTGTGATGGCTATATCAACAACACTACCCACTACAATAAGGGCATCAAACGTGTTCCATGCATCAACAAAATAATGCTGGACGGAAAACAACAAATAAATAAAAAAAAGAAATGAAAAAGAAAAGAAAAGGAGAGAGGAGAAAATAAGGAAGAAAACAGTTACACATGAACAATTAACTCACAGAAGACATAAGGATAAATCATAAAATCAAATGACGGGTGTGAGGAAATCAAAACGAAATCAGAGAATCCCATGATGACCCGGGACCTGTCATGCTCCACAGCAGCAGTCAAACATCCATCAAAACCACCCTGAAAATAACGGCCAGGGGTCCTTGGTTAGTTCAGGTGTGACTGTTAGTTACAGCAAAACAACATACATCGCGGCCTGGAGGATGAAAAGAAGCGGTCGCTCTCTCTCTTTCACGGGGCCTACCGAAAAACTCTCCTGTACGAACACTTTTTCTCCTGCCCTAAATAACCCTCTCACTGCCAGAGGGCGACCTGCCACAGCAGCCATCTTGCCGTCGGAACAGAAAATGAAGAGTTGGAGGAGACAGCAGGAGCAGAGAATGGCAGGAAGCACAGGGGGAATGAAAGACAGCAGAGATGGACAGGAGAGCAAAAGAGAGAAAGGGAGTTGGCAAAAGAGAGAGAGAGGTGGCGATGTACTTACGTTGATCTCACTCAGAATGACGTCTATAATGCTGCCAATTACGATGAGGAAGTCAAAAACATTCCAGGGGTCACTAAAGTAACCCTACACAGGACGAGGGGAAGGTGGGGGTGAGGGGTGAGAGAGGGCAGTTAGAGAGGCAGAATTGACCATCACTAGCGCTGCCGTACCCATGATGCATGAGCACAGTCAACCCACAATGCATCTCGTTAGCCAATCACCATTCAGCACAACTATGGACTTTCAGGAAATTACGGATTAAATATGTCCATTTCAACAAGAAAACGCACTTTGATTTGTGTTGATGCTCTCGTTTACAAGGAAAAGATGGTTTTCGGGGCTCTAGAGGAAGTCACTTTATCCTGTGAGCGGATGGCATCTCTACTGACACCATCTTTACGATATCTGATTTGTGCTTAATAGGGCAGGAAAACCTTTAATAGACTGGAAATGGCTGCCAAGTTATGCGAGAAATAAAACTCTTTAAACACTAACTGATGGAATTATGTCTTAAGGCAGGCGATGAAACTCATTTCTGAAGAAGAGCGAGAGAGAGACTGTCATTTTACGTTACATTCATTTCAGTCCTCGTCTGGGGCAAAACTAGTGACTGTAGTAAAACATTTCAGGTCAAAGACAGGTTAAATAAGTGAGACGTGACATTTCTAAAGATAAGCAGAGTGTTATCCGCTGTAAACTGTGCATTTGATGACACAAACAAAAACCGGAATGGAAAACATTTAGCCTGGACGACAACTGTAAAATTGTTTGTTAAACAGCACACGGCAAAAAAAAAAATACACAATTCAAAGCACTGATAATAAAGTTCTGTAAAGTGCATGCTGGGACTTCCATTTTAAGAATAGCTTATAGTCTAATCATCTCAAATCAGATTTTTTTTTAATAATAATAATATACAATTTAATTTTAAAGACTTAGAAGTTCCTGTACACAGACGTCTAATAATAGAATGATTTGGAATGAAAATCAGCTTTGCTCATATAATAAACATGCATGGCGTACCCTGGGTTTGAAGGCGATGAGTTTGAGGATCATTTCCACAGTGAAGAGGCCGGTGAACAACATATTGAGGATATTCATGGCTTTGCTGAAGGACTGAGATTGGCCATGATGCTGCAAACGCATAAATTAATCAAGAATATTAGATTTGTGTATTTGAGTATATGTGTATTAGTTGAACTAGTGAGCATACTGACCTGCATGGCCAGGCAGATGGTGTTGAGAAGGATGAGGGTGAACATCAGGTACTCAAAGTAGGTGGAGTTCACCACGTACCACACCTTGTACTGATACGGGTTCTTGGGGATGTACCTGCGCAGGGGACGGGCCTTCAGGGCATATTCCACACACTGGCGCTGTACACACACAGAAACGTATGGAGGTGGAATTAGAGTTAGACTTTTAAACGCTCTCTGTGTTCCTGTAGAGATACTGTCATCAGTCTACCTGGTTCTTGTCCAGCTCACAGTTTTTGTACTCTTGCTCTCCCTGCTCCTGAAATGTCACAATGACGAAACCTACGAATATGTTCATCATGAAGAAGGCGATGATGATGATGTAGATGATGAAGAATATAGAGATGATCACACGGTAGTTGTAGATTGGGCCAACATCCTCCGCATGGGAGTCGATGGCTCTGTAGAGGAGCCTGTGGGAGAACAGAGAGCTTCTTGTCAGTGTTTTGAAACACTGCTTTTAAAATTATTCATTAATTTATAGTAATATTTAAGGAGATTGTTTGATATTAGCTTTTAGAAATTGTTATTCATTCATTCAGAAGTTTCAGCAGGGATGCATTAAACTGATCAAAAGTGACAGTAAAGACACTTATGAATATATTTCATTTCAGAAATTAATATATGAATATATGTTCATTTATATTTAAAGATTTCCGGGGAAAAAAAATTATCACTGTTTCCACAAAAATATTAAGAAGAAATGTTTCATGAGCACAAAATCAGCATATTAGAACTATTTTTGAAGGATTATGAGACTCTAAAGACTGGAGTAATGATGCTGAAAAATCTGATTTGCCAAAAAATTTATATATTTTAAAATATATTAAAATATAAAACAGTTCTTTAAAATTGTAATAATGTTTCACATTAGAGACTTATTTTTAAAATAATAGCCTATGAATAAGGCTATGAAACTTATGTGTAAGAAGAAGTATGTGTGTGAGCAAGTGTGAGTGTGTTTGTGTATCGCACCCTGGCCAACCCTCAAAAGTGGACACGGCAAACAGAGCCATCATGCCCTGCAGGACATCATCAAAGTTGAAGTCACTGTTCTCCCATGAACGCTGTGCTTTCTCTGGCTTCCCAACATTCCCGTGTTTGTATAATATATAGGAGCCCCTGTAATACACACACAGAGTGCACACATATACATATGAACGAGCTGTTTTTTTTTCTGTAAATGTTACTGTAAACTTTGTTTCCCAAAGACAAAGGGACGTTACCGGCATTCGGTCTGTGTCTGTTTAGAGGTGTCTGTGCAGTAGAAGAATTTGCCCTAGAAAACAAACATCAGTTTACACACATGAACATTTTACAACAGCACATACAATGCCACGGGACTAAAAATTCAATTCATTTTCTCAATAGAGAAGTAGATTTTATAGCAGCAATGTATAACCCTGTCATTGTTTTGCTCTGTTAAGTATGCATTGTGAGACAGCACAACTTACCTTGAAAAGTTGAACACCAATACAGGCAAACATGAACTGCAGCAAAGTGGTGACGATGACGATGTTCCCGATGGTACGGATGGCTACAAACACACACTGGACCACATGCTGTGGACGCAAACAAAGCTCTCAATTAAAATAAATGCTCAGCGCATCCAGCACACTGAATGGAAAGAGTAGGTCAGAGTCATCTGAACAGATTTTTGTGTGAATGAGAGACTCACTTTGAGGCCCTTGGCTCTGTTGATTGCTCTCAGGGGCCTCAACACCCTCAGCACTCTGAGAATCTTCACTACATTAATGGCACTTGACCTGTGAATCACAGCACAGTTTGGCACCACCAATCAGAACGGCTAATTACTGATCACGTGACAACACTATACAGAGAAGCAGATGCTCACGGACAGCAGTGGAGTTTGGATACCTTTGATTAAACGCACTAATGAAATAAAAAAAAATTACGTTGGCACCAAAGACTTTTAAAACTTTTTATGATGATAAATAAATTGTATTATATATATATATATATATATATATATATTCTTATTATTAACAGACAGCATCTTGAGTATTATTTACATACTATTATAGTATTTATTAATATTTTGATATTTATTAAAATTTAGCTTTAATTTTTATATTTTCCATTTCCATTTTAATTATAGTTTACGTTTTTGTCATTTTGTTATGTGCTTTTTAAAATTATTGTAATTATTGTATTATAGAAAATTATAATAATTATAAAAATTAAATATTTTTTCTAAGTTAATATTTAAATATATATATTATATATTTTTACACACACACACACACATATAACATTTTATTTTATTTTATTTCGATTTTTTTATAGTTGTAGTTGTAGTTAACAATAACAACACTGAATTGGTGGACATAAATAGCATTTGATTGGACATTGGTATTAAAAAGGGTGACAATTGAATATGTTATTTGTGACATGAGAAGCAGTAGTACTAGTTAGTTTGTCAGTTAGTTTGGCAAAAGATACTTACTGAATTCCAGAGGAGATCAGAGACACACTGACCACCACCAGATCCAAAATATTAAAATAATTCCGACAAAATGAACCCTTATGTAGGAATGCTCCATACGCTGTCATCTGAGAGGAACAGTGGACAAATGGAGAGTCAGTGAGGAATTAGATGAGTATGAAAAACACATAGAAGGCTGTAGTAGGAAAGATATTATTAGCATGAAATGAACTGGGACACTTGTACCTTTAAAATGTAAATTTACCTTTAATATGATCTCTATGGTGAAGATTCCTGTAAACACATAATCTGCATAGCCTAGAATCTAGCAGAGAAAAAGAAAGACACGCACATATCAAAGCCTCATAACAGCAGCGCTACAAAAGTGATGTACATGTCAGTGTGTGTCTGTGTGTACCTGATTCCTGAATGAGTCATTATTCACTGGGTCCTCCGCTGCCAGTGAAATACTGCTCAACAGTATAAAGAACAGGATTAAATTGGTGAAGATGTTGTGGTTTACAATCTTATGACACAAAACCCTGAACCTACAGAAGAGAGAGAGCGGAAAAAATGGGTTTGAGAGACAGTTTTGGGTTTGGATTATGAAAACTATCCTAAATAACATAACCCACTGATGTGGAAATCAAGGTCTATAAGTGTGTATGTGGTTTTCATACTTGTTAGTGGCGCTGAAAATAAAGAAAGCTTTGGCTTCTGGCATGGGGACAGCTTTCTCCTTCAGCTGAATGTCGGAGAGTGGACGTGGACGAGGACCTACTGGCATCTCTGGCTCCTCATCATCCTCCTCTCCTGCTGAAAAGAACAAACAAGAGAGACTTTTCGGAAAGAATTCCACGCATCATCCCTCAACATTTCCACGCACGTCTTTGCATTACTGTAAAAAAAAAGTGAAAATGACACAGACCAGGAAATGTGTTGAACTTGGGGGAAATCAACAAGAGCAAAAAGAAGGATCTTTGCTCAACCGAAAAACAATCTCATGGGGTGCTCCCAGAGTTGAATAAAACAGGCCTGGGCTCTTCTGTGGAATTGCTTTCGACTGTTTCTTCAGTTTTTTAATGAAAAGGCAGCTTTTTTTTTAACACTTTCTCTTAACACACCTGGGAAATCGTTCACAGGATATGGATTCTTCTCCTCATTCTCCTCCCCTGTGTACTCATCTATGTTGATCTAAAATCAGAAGGCAAACAATAAAAAGCAATTTAAAAATATTTTTATAATATTATACATTTTGAATAATTAAAAAATATTTATTTATAAGGTAATTAAAAAGATTAATTAATTATTACAAACAAACAGTTTGCATCTGTAGATGTCTACGTATTTGTGTCTGTGGTCTATATGTAATTTTTTAAATTACAGAAAACAATATTTTAAATATTAGTGTCTTTTATCATGTTTTTGTTGCTGTGCAGCTCATTTGCATTTAAAGAGACATGCACGAAAACAGTGTGTTTCTGCTTCCACTCAAAATGAAATAATAAATGATCTGTGGGGTATTTTGAGCTGAAACTTCACAGACATATTCTGGGGACACCTGAGATTTATATTACATCTTGTAAAAAGGGGCATAATAGGTGCCCTTTAATCTGTGTTTCTATGTGGCCTCTTTATAGTGACCTTAGTGGCAGTTGGCGTCTCTCCATCAGAAGTGATGGATTTTAGTTCAATCTTTTCCTCTTTCTTTTCATCCTCCAGAGGTGGTTTCTCAGAGTCCTGACGCTTCTCTGGACTGGCCGTTCTGTAAGACAGAAATCGCGTCATAAATGTGTGTGAGTGCAGCTTTACGGTCCCACTAAGCACCTGTATTTACAGCTCTTCAGAGGGGCAAAAACACTTCTGTAAAATTAAACTTAATTTTCTCAATGTTAAATTAATGAAGTCATAACCGATACACTTAATGAGCTCATTAAGCAGGGGGCAGGAAATCTTCATAGGAAGGTTTTACAGGCCCTCAGACCATCTCAAAGCATTGCACTCATGTGAACTGTGAGTCACTGTACCTGGCCAGCTTCTTCCTCTCTTTCTCCTCCTCTTCCTCTTTCTGCGCTGATGTCAGACTCTCGGCGTCTGCCAGGTTGTCCACGGCAATGGCCAAGAAGACATTCAGGAGGATGTCTGTTTAGAGTTCAGGAGCCTTTTGATCAGTTTTATAATCAACACTTTTATTTTGTGTCACATCGTGTTGTGTTAAACAAGTTTTCTTTAGGATACAGTTTCCGCAGATGAAGAGGATGATAAAATAAATGCAGACAAGCATGCCAGGAAAGGAGGGTCCACCGTACGCCATGATCCCATCATACATCACAGAGTTCCAGTCCTCTCCGGTCAAAATCTACAATCACAAAATCAAACATGGGTCAGGTTTGAAGACGCATGAAAAGTGTGTCCTGTGGTTCAGACTGTAGCAGAACCTGAAAGACGGTGAGGAGAGACTGGGGGAAGTTATCGAAGGTGCTGCGGCGCGTCTCATCAAAGTTGAACTTGCCACCAAAGAGCTGCATTCCGAGCAGACTGAAGATGATGATGAACAGGAAGAGCAGCAGAAGCAGGGATGCGATAGAACGCACCGAGTTCAGCAGAGATGCCACCAGATTACTGAGAGAGTTCCAGTACCTGAGAGAGAGAACAGTCAGCATTAATACAAAGTCACACCCCACAGTTAACAAAACACATGTCTTTAAAGGGATAGTTCACCCATAAATTATATCTATACGCTTTCTTTGCACACAAAAACATTTACAATAACATTACATCAGGGTTGAACCCCTGATGTCACATGGACTATTTTATCAATGTCCTTGTTACGTTTCTGTGCATTGATCACGTTAGGACACTTGCTGTCTATGGGAGGGTCAGAGAGCTCTCGGATTTGATCAAAAATATCTTAATTTGTGTTCCGAAGAAGGTCTACCGGTTTTGTAACGACATGAGGGTGAGTAATTAATGACAGAATTTTCATTTTTGGGTGAACTAACCCTTTAACACATACCTAGTGATCTTGAAGATGCGGAGCAGACGCACACAGCGCAGCACAGAGATGCCGAGGGGTGACATGACCTTGATTTCCACCAGGATAGTCTCCAGAATTCCACCACACACCACAAAACTGTCAAAGCGGTTAAAAAGGGAGACGAAATAGGCCTGTAGGCCCAGGCTGTACATCTTCAGCAGCATCTCACCAGTAAAAAGAGCCAGCAACACCTTATTGGCGATTTCTGTAAACACAGACACAACACATCCATTCACTATGAGATTTATTTTGAATACAGAGACAGAGAAGAAATTAATACTTTAATTAGTACTTAAAATAATCAGGAGTGACAGTAAAGACATTTTATAATGTTAAAAACATATCACGGTTTCCAAAAAAAGATTAAGCTGCACAACTGTTTTCAACAATGGCAATAATATAATATAATATGAAATGTTTCTTGATCACCAAATCAGCATATTAGGCTGAAGACTGGAGTAATGGCTGCTGAAAAATCAGCTTTGCCATCACAGGAATACATTACTTTTGAAAATATATGAAACTAATAGAAAAACGTTTTAAATTGCAATACAATATTACAGCTTTCATTTTAAAAAGTGACCCCAGACATTTGAACATTTTTGTACATCGAGTATGTCTGGGGGAAAAAAATTATTAAAAAATTATATAGTGTGACATCACACAGAATAATCACTGCATTATTTACTAAAATAGCTAAAGTAGTTATTAACAGAGCGTCCTCGGTTGGCTAAGTTCGTTAGTGTAGACAAATCAAACCAAGGTTCTGATATCAATTACGTAACAACATTAGATGGGGTTTTTTGAGATTGGATGGTCACTGCTGAGCTCTGAGAGATACAAGATATGGGAGTCATAAAAGTAAGCTTCGCCAAAGACAACTAATCAAAATATAAAGTACATCACACATACACTTTTATAAATATTTGACTGCTCAAGGCTGTATTGTTATATATTTCAGTAGCAAAATGATTGTATATTGAAATATATACGCTATTGTAGAATTGAGTACCTTGCACATTGGTGAGCCATTCTGGCTGCTGGTGGTGCTCAGAGGCAATGGTAAGTGTATTCAAAAATACCAGGAAAACCACCAGCCAGTAGAACACATTTGACTTCACTGCTGCACGGCACGTGCGCCGACATAACCGATTCCATCGGCGTGAATATCGACTGCAAAACAAAGACAGAGAGAGAAATAGAATATAAAACATTCCAAATTCAAAGTCTGTACAATCTGACTCCATTCTTACCAGCCGGGATAAATATCCTTTCAGTATTCACTAAATGCACTTTATGGAAACATAACAACTATGTGTGTTTGTACTGGCAGTGACTGAAAATGCTGCTGCTCTCAATTCTTTTGGCATCTGTAGCAAACAAATCTAACCTGAATAACACTGGCAGTCTGAACTTGTTAATGGATGTTCAGCCACTGATCAGAGGGCAACCGTGATGATCAAAACACAACACTGGCATTGAAACACAACAAACACACACACACACACATATACATGAAGAGCAGTAAGGAAGGCAACCTCGCCTTCAGACGGTATGTAATGTACTAACCTGAATTTGGATTTGGAGATCCTATTTCTGGAATGGAAAACAGAATGTATTATACATACAGAACAGACACGACATCATGAAGGACAATGTTTCCACAGAGACAGCAGAACTGGGAGGGCAGTCAGGTGGGCCTGATCATACATCATCACTACTTCAGAGCGCCCCCATGATGATGATCAGGAGCAACTGAGTGCCAACCACATATGATAGATAGACAGATAGATAGATAGATAGATAGAAACATCACACTGTGTGTTGCATTGCCTTGACAAATGTTGTTTTCAGCAAAGACTCATCATTTACAGTGATACATTTTTGTTACATTCAACTTGTGATATGTAAATTAAACAGTTTTTATGATTTAACTGTTCACAGATTTTTAATATCCGTGGGAATGTTTATATATAATTACTTTTATGGCTGTGTATTGCATGAATGTTCCTGTCTGTGTTTGTGACATAAAACACTGATCACTAACAGGGCAGATCAGCTGGAAAACAGACGACAGCAACAGATGCACAGAGAAAAAAAAAAACGACACTGAAGATCACGGGAGCGCCAGGAGCCGCCCACTGAGCCCTGCTGACCTCGCCTACCAGCAAACCATTTAAAACTAGCTCTCAACCTTACATCTCTGTAGACGTCTGAATACTGAAAAGAGTAAGTCTGAAGAGAATTAAGCATGGAGGGAAATAAAAATTAAGTAATTGAGGAATTAGAGGAGAAGAGATGATCAGGAAGGAGAACAGAAGGAGGAGGAGAAAAGAGGAGGAACGGGATGCTGTGGGGACTTACGCCATGCGAGTACAGCAGGTCTCTCCCTCCATGTCTCCAGCTGGAGCATTATCAGTGTTCACTGACTCATTTTCACTGGCCGGCATACTCGAGAAAGAGAGAGGGAAAGCGAGGGAGAGAGAGAGTGCGATGAATTACCAGTAAAAGAAGATACTCATTGCTCATCAAATGCTGGTGTCACACACACACACACACACACACACACACACACACACACACACACACAAGAAACTGACTTTCAACCTCTAAAGGACACTTACTTGAGCTTTTACACTGGCACACTGACAGCAGAAATGACCAGGGTTCAAAATCAACACTTACCAATTGACAAATGTAGGTAAAAACTGGCCTTGAGAGGTAAGTAAAATGTAGTTTTAACAATGCATATAACATAACACATAAGTCTAACCATACAATAATCAGAACCTTACTAAGTGAGGTGACAGTTAACTAAAGAAAACATATCTGCCATGACTTTTGCATTTATCTAAGGTGCCTATAGTTTTTTACATATGTAAAATATTCCTCACAGCAAGCCACCAAAAAGAACACATTAGGAACCAAATTACAGTGTTTGTTCACAATGTTTGTGACAGGTGCAGTTTTACTGAGAAACAGATTAGATTGTTTTGTATATGATGCTTCAAGAAACACAAAGCTGTTTGTCACTAATAAAAAAAAAGCCTAAATGACAAATTCAGCTGTTAAAAGCTGTCAAAACTATAATAAAGTCATAATATAAAAACATAAAACATGCTAAATTATACCTGTTAAACAGGTAGAAAGAAAAATAAGATAGAATAAATAACATATGTAAAGAAAGTTGTTACTGAGCCAGTTCTTATTAAATAGACTCAGCAGTCTTGATGACAGCCAGCATATCCATGCTCAGATGTGATCTTTAATGTTTAATATGGACCATATGTGAGATTGTCTGCCCCAAAAAGTGTTTGAACAGAATCAAATACCACATTTCATCAACACACACATATACTGTGTGTCATGGGTGTTAAGCCTGTGAATCGATCTTAAATTAAACTAGACCTCAAACCAACAGAATTATAAAACACAATGATTTGGATGGGTTCATTCAGATTTCAAAGAGAAAGAGAGAGGGAAAGCGAGGGAGAGAGAGAGTGCGATGAATTACCAGTAAAAGAAGATACTCATTGCTCATCAAATGCTGGTTTCACACACACACACACACACACACACACACACAAGAAACTGACTTTCAACCTCTAAAGGACACTTACTTGAGCTTTTACACTGGCACACTGACAGCAGAAATGACCAGGGTTCAAAATCAACACTTACCAATTGACAAATGTAGGTAAAAACTGGCCTTGAGAGGTAAGTAAAATGTAGTTTTAACAATGCATATAACATAACACATAAGTCTAACCATACAATAATCAGAACCTTACTAAGTGAGGTGACAGTTAACTAAAGAAAACATATCTGCCATGACTTTTGCATTTATCTAAGGTGCCTATAGTTTTTTACATATGTAAAATATTCCTCACAGCAAGCCACCAAAAAGAACACATTAGGAACCAAATTACAGTGTTTGTTCACAATGTTTGTGACAGGTGCAGTTTTACTGAGAAACAGATTAGATTTTTTTGTATATGATGCTTCAAGAAACACAAAGCTGTTTGTCACTAATAAAAAAAAGCCTAAATGACAAATTCAGCTGTTAAAAGCTGTCAAAACTATAATAAAGTCATAATATAAAAACATAAAACATGCTAAATTATACCTGTTAAACAGGTAGAAAGAAAAATAAGATAGAATAAATAACATATGTAAAGAAAGTTGTTACTGAGCCAGTTCTTATTAAATAGACTCAGCAGTCTTGATGACAGCCAGCATATCCATGCTCAGATGTGACCTTTAATGTTTAATATGGACCATATGTGAGATTGTCTGCCCCAAAAAGTGTTTGAACAGAATCAAATACCACATTTCATCAACACACACATATACTGTGTGTCATGGGTGTTAAGCCTGTGAATCGATCTTAAATTAAACTAGACCTCAAACCAACAGAATTATAAAACACAATGATTTGGATGGGTTCATTCAGATTTCAAAACAAAACCAAAGTTGGACAAACTTACCCAAATACATCATGTAAAAGACTCAAAAAATGCTAATCTACCAATCAGCATGCAGGCCTACAATTCCATCTCATTAACATGCACAGGGGGCGGGGTCAAGCAGGGTCTCTAAATTCCATGCTGCATTTTCATTGGCTCTGATCTTTTCCCCTAATTCTATTTCTTAATTTAAAAAAAAACACATTATCATCCAGACTACACCACCCTTGGAAATGGGATTATGGGATTATGTTTGGTCGGATATTCCGAGACAGGATTACAGATGTCGAAGAGTGACATTACATCATCAGTATGCTGATGATGTATTGTGAAATTTGATGTGTTTAAAATGAATGAATATTACTCTTGTAATTTGTAATTAAGATAAAATACATAACGTAAACACTCTAAACAAATCTGAAGTAGATGGGAGTGAAGCAACATAAGTCAGGAGAAAAATGTCCACAATACTTTGCAATCTATTTCTATTAACATCTCACAACGGCTGTTAAAGAGAAATCACAACCTCATTGTCAGAACCATCTGAACCGTGGTGTGCAAAGCAGAACTGTTTCTATCTAGGCATCACATGCAGATCACATTGGAACAGGAGCCTGATGTGTGACTAAAATTTACTACAAAGCACCAGATTCTGATTCAAATACCTGGAGAAAAAAAACGACATGCTAAAAGTCCAGATATTTCAAACAGAAAAACTTGTCTAAATTCCAAACCTCTCAGATTTACATGCTTATCATCATTCAGAAATGTAAAATACGGAGAACTAAGCAGGGAGACCCCATCGCCCTCCGTACCCAGATTGACCTGTCTGGGCGGGGAAGGATGGGTCGGGGGTCAGTATAAAGGTCTTGTTGCACTTTTCCCATGCAAACGCAAAAGTAAACCGTGATTGCTATTGAGACGCACACGCCTTACGAAGCAGAGCTGCTTTTTTCTTCACCGCTCCACGGATGTACTGTAAACGATGAGTCTTCCCTGAAAACAACAGAGCGAGACTCAAACAGTCAGAGACAAACACAGTCAGACAGAAAAAGACGCCACCAGCCCTCTCTGTCCCGAATATTTATAGCTAAAAAAGGCGGTCACAAAAAACTCAAGACACTTGACACAAAACACTTAACATTAAACATCACTTTTAATACAAAAAATACAAATAATCTGAGGTGCAGTTCTATTTTGTGCCACTAGATGTGCGTCAGCATGTGGACTGCAGTATATCTCTATATATTGACTGTGTGTGAAAGCGTTTTCCCATCTGATCTCAGTTAGGGGCTGGACTGACAATACACAATCTCAGGCTCTGAAATACCAGAGTCAAAAATAAATCCAAAAACACACACACACACACACACACAAAAGTCTCTATATATACTGTATATCCCTGAAGGGACTTCCCATTCACATTTATTATTCTTAATATAAACAAATTATACAACCCTAAGCCTAAAACTGGCATTTTAAACTTTTTCTATCTACTGTAGATTACTGTCTAGACGTTTTGTGAACCTTTTGTCCCCCACAAGGACGTTTGGTCTGCTTACTCTTGCTTCTAAAAAAAATTGTATTCCTAATATGGATAGCAAAACCTGCCCAAATACAAACACATTCATCTATTCATTCAAGTTTTGGATTGTGGTGAGTTTCTGATGGAGAACTCTCATCTGCAACTGAAACAATCCATAACATATCTGAATATTGTGTATACAGTAATATGAGCTAATAATTTTCATCTGTCACAGCAAGCAAGAAGTTTTTGGAACATGTTGGCAGCCAACCTCACAATCAATATTTAAGGTGAGTTACTGTTTATTTTCAAATAGAAAATGGATACAGTTTCCGTAATGACAATAAATATCATATATGGGCATGTCAAACTAGCTAATAGACAATTTTTTATTTTTTTATTTTACCCTTATGTAGAAACTGTAAATCAGGATATCAGGCCTTGATTATGCTTGAAGGGCCAGAGATAAAAGAGACAATATCTCATGTCAGTATTTATAGATCTGAAAGTATTTTCAGACTAAGTATAAATTAAAACAATAGCAAAGTCATAGTTTAAAACTGTAACTCCTAAAAGATAACATTTCAATGTCCTCATTTGCATTTAAAACCAAAACCAACACTTTTGCAAAACGTCTCGGATAACAAACTCAGAGCAGATCAATTTGCCCCACCCTGGTGCTTCCCTGCTTCATACTTACGATTTCTAGGCTTGTCGTCGTCCAGTCCCTCGTCGTCGTTCTCAGGGTCGATATCCTCCGCCTGCGTGATCCAGTCCAGGTAACCCTTTAGATCTTCCTCCAGCTGCTGCTTCTCACGGAGCTTCTGGAAATCGCCGCGAGCTTTGGCCTTTTCTCGCTCTTTAGAGAACTCTCTGAGAAACGGAAAGACAGAGACTTCCACTAAATATCCATCCCGTAAAATAAACAGACTGAATCAGAAAAAAGTGTAATAATTAGAAAAAAAAAATCTAATATATTTTAAAAGTGCAATCAAATATTAAAAATACTTTTGTTAGGACACATACACTACACAACTGTTCAAAAGTTTTTTATGCTCACCAAGGCTGCATTTCGTAAATTTTGTCAAAAATACAGCAAAAAATTTAAATATTGTTAAATGCTGTAATAATTATGTGTGTGTATATATATATATATATATATATATACATACTGTATATATGTGTGTGTGTGTATATAAATACACACATACACATGTCAAAAATCTCGCTGACCCCAAACTTTTGTACAGCAGTGTGTTTCTTGCAATAAACAGAGCAAGATATTCACTCACAACAAGACCATGAATGTGTATTTAAGGGAAAAAGGGAAACAAAACACCTTTGACCCTTGTTTGTACAGACTTGTTTTAAACACAAAAAAGATGATAAGGAAGATAACAGATCTCTCTCACACACACTCTTCAAAGGATAAAAACTAAGTCAGAAATAAAGACGACGGAGAGAGAATGAATGAGTGTCCCTTACCCGCTTAAAACCCCAAGAACCAAATTAAGAACAAAAAAGGAGCCAATGATGATTAAAGTGACAAAATAAAGCCATGGCCAGGAATTCCCTACAGCATCATTCACCTGGGAATGGAGGGAAGGATGGAGTATGGGGGGAGAGAGGGATGGATGGAGGGGTACAGTTGAAGAGGGATGAATGAATGATTAGTATGTGTCTGCTGGACATGGGCAGTTCTACATAACCCCTCTCTGGCTCGCTTAATCCCAGTGCTTTGAGAAAGAAAATGTGTTTGATCAGAGTTCAGTCAGAGCTTGTTCTATTCTCCAAAAAACCACACACACACACACTTTCAGCACACAATGCTTACCCGCTCAACACACCCAGAACCAGATTTAGAACGAAAAAGGATCCAAAGATGACCAGACTGACAAAATAGACCCACGGAAGCTCATAACCCATGGCATCCTGCATCTGAGATGAGGAGGGGACAGTTAGAAAAAAGAAAGAAGAGCGGAGCGGAGAGGAGAGGAAGACAGTCAGCGGAAACGAGTGCAGTGAACAGCACATGCTGGTCCCTCAGAAACCCAGAACATCAAGAAAACCCATGAAGCATAGAGCATATTCAACAGAGAGAAAGACAGAGAGAGAGAGAGAGAGAGACGTTCAGCTGAGTCTGTTTGACTGCTTTAAAAGATGTCATCAGGAAAACCGTCAATCACTTTAAGTATCTGGAAGAGTGCAGAGGACTGAGATATAGAAAAGATGGGCTTTAGAGAGCAGCAGTGATCACACACACAGGGCTCAACAGGGTTTTTTCTGTTAGTGAGTCGGGTCAATAGTTCTGGTTTTTACAAACATTTTCAGTGGCTCCACCATATTAGAATGTTCAATGTTTGTGCTAGAAATATTTATATTTGTCTTATTTACAACTATTTATTCAAAATTCTACAGCTATAATGCAACTTCATAAATTTTTAAACACGGTTTCGCTAGAAAATTATGTCATATGATGCAAAATATTGGTTTGTAGTTTTCAGCACATTTTTACTAGGGCTGTCAAATGATTAATCACGATTAATCGCTTCCTAAATAAAAGTTTGTGTTTACAAAATATATGTGTGTGTACTGTGTCTATTTATTATGTATTAAAAAAATCCACACACATACATGTATAAATTTTAAACATATTTATATGTATATAATTTATATACTTTTTATATAATATTATATAATTTATATTATATACAAAAATATAAATATTTTATATATACAATTTTTCTTAAATATATACATGCATGTGTGTGTATTATTTATATAATAAATACACACAGTACACACACATATATTATGTAAACAAACTTTTATTTCGGATGCAATTAATCGCGATTAATCACTTGACAGCCCTACTTTTTACTGATGTTTTACAAGTAATTTCTGCAAATCAAAAACAATCACAGTGAAGAATCAGCAGAATATTTTCCATGTAAAACATATCACAAAAATCCAAAGGTTTAAGTTTGCAAGGTATAAAAATGGATGTACAAAATCAATGAATGTCAAATTTTCAGTGGCAACGTATTGTGTTATGAGCCGTAACATACACACCACTCACCTAGTCATAAAAATACATATAAACTAAATAAATAAATAAATAAAAATCGCACAAGTGGATGTGGATTCCTAATAGAATTTCCATTTTAATTTAGAACTAAGAATGAAGATCCTATTAAATAATCTGAAATTCTCACAACATTTTTTAAATTCTTTTTTGATTTTTACAGTTCAGGATTACAGGATTTGTTCCAAATTAGGAAAGAAATTCCAATAGGGTTCCTCTTTTTAACTAAAGACACTGGGAGATACTCCTAACCCTACCTCATTCATGTGTCTTTTCTCAGTAAAGAGACCATGTGTGCTTATACAGTCATTAGGTGTAGTGTGCCGTTATTGGAGCAGACTCACCCAGTACAGGACGTCAGTCCAGCCCTCCATCGTGATGCACTGAAACACAGTCAGCATGGCAAATGCAAAGTTATCAAAGTTCGTGATTCCATCATTTGGGCCCTCCCATCCCATCATGCACTGCGTTACGTTGGCCGGGGTGCAATGTCGTCCATGGGCAGAGTTTGGGGCGCAGGGGGCCGGCTTCTCTTCAGATATAGGACCTGAAAGAAAACAGGATTCTGTCAGTTGATCTGGAGCCAATCACTAGAACAAGGAAGGAACAAATACTCCTAAAATCCTGACCTTTGTGTCCATCTTTGAAGAAAAAACAGGTTCTGTGCATCTTGCCCATGAAGAGCTCGAGGCCAATGATGGCATAAATGATGATGACGAACAGAACGAGCAGAGCGATGTGCAGGAGGGGAACCATGGCTTTAATGATGGAGTTCAGCACCACCTGTAAACCTGCAAGCACACAGGAAAGGAATCTGAAAAATACAGTAGATAATCACTTTTCTCATGGATGGTTTTCTTTGTTTTGTGAGTGAAGCATTTATATTCTAACTGTTTATGCTCGGAATATTATCGATAATAAAATGATAATGTGCAGTCAGCTAATCATGATCCCATTGTGAAGCCAAAACAGCTGAAAAAAAAAGGTCAATTACAGTATACAGTTTAAAAGTCATTATACTTAGGTGTTTAAAAAATATTTGACAATCAGAAAGAAAATGGTTTTGCCAACACAACAATAAAATCTGTGCCTACACATGCTGATAAGAATGGCTTAATAGAGTTTTGACTTCTGGATTTCTGGGTTGTGATTACTGATTCTCGAATCGTTTCAGATCCTCCTACAGGAAGGAAATGAAAATTTATTTAAATTCATGTTCTCTCAGTTTCTCGGTCCTGACTCGTGGACGACTTACTCAACAGTCATCAGATGAGTGTGCGCGTGTGTGTGTGTGTGTACTCACTAGGTACTCCAGATACGAGTCTCAGAGGTCTTAACACTCTAAAGGCTCGCAGGGCTTTTACATCAAACCCTGCAGCCTTGCCTCCCATTGAAGTCCCACCATCCCCTTTAGTGGCCTGCTCTAATATTGCACTGAAGAGCCTGAAAGAGAGATAGAAAGAGGACGTTATCGACTCATTATCATTTTACATTTCAGGTTAAAACATATTTTAACTAAGCAGTCTTGACTTTTCCCTGGATGCAGCAAATGCAAATCATGGGAAAAAAAGCTTTTAAACATACAGTTTTTTTTTTTTTTTTGGAATTTACAATTCATTTCTTTTGAAAGTTAACACTACTTTGAAACACTACCATGCAACATTTACATACCATACCAACCAATACCATGCACATTTAAATTATATTTGAAAATAACATTATAAAATAAAATATTCTAGCCTCTTTAGCAATTAGTTATACTAATTATTTAATACAAATAAAATAAAATAAAGACTAATGAATAAATTATTATATATTTTTAGCCTCTTTAGAGAAGTCTTTTTAGAGAAAGTTCATTTTTATTTTTTATAATTTTATTTTATTTTATATATTTAGAATTTAATAAATCATTCTATGTTTCATGAACATAATTTCATATTTAAAACATTACATTCCATAACACTTCTGGTTACACTTTATTTTAAGCAGTCCTTGTTACAGTGGTATTATTTTAAGTACTGATTAATATTAATTAACTACATGTACTTACTATATGGTTAGGGATAGGATTAGGGCACATGTTCCTATGTCTCAGGGGTTACTGCAGGTTACACCGAGAGCTTGTACTCACCCAACCACCACGATGATGAAATCCAACAAGTTCCAGCCGTTCCGCAGGTACGCATTAGGGTGACACAGCAGCCCGTATGCAATAACTTTCAGAAATGCTTCCACTGTAAAAATTATCAGAAAGAGATACTCCACCCGTTCCTAGACAGACAAAACAGAGACAAAGAGGATATTAGTTCTCTAATTGCATCAGCTCTAATATCTTTAAGCATAAAGCTGCTCGAAGCTCTGAACCAACATCAGAAAATGTACTGAGCCATTTGTCTGGATGACATTTTATTACAGATCAGGCCTATCAGAAAAGAACAGATACCACACACACAAACACACAGAATGTCGGTGCACCAGAGACACTGTGTTCGAGTGGATTATAGAGCAGAAATGCTGCGTCTGTAAATGCCAGATGAATTTCAAAGTCTTTGCTGACTGTCTCACAACTTTCCTGTGAGGATCAAAACACAGACATTCATCTCCACACGACGAAAAGGGATATCAGACCTGATTTGTTTGAACTAGCTGTCAATTGATTTAAAAAATGGAATCAAATAATTGCATGATTAATCAAATTGACTGCATATCAGTAGTTGCTGAAAAAAATCCTCAAATGAAAACATTCAAATACATGAAAATATATGATATTCTTGTGGCAGATTAAATCACTAAATAGACAAAGTAGCTATAATAATATAAAAATAAGATTAATAATATAAGATACTATAATAACTGATATCTTCTTTCCATAAGTCAATGTATCACATTGAATGTGTTTTTATTCTTGATAAATGCCTTTTAAGAGACAACAGTTTATAAATGACATTCTGACCATTACACATTCAATGGGAAACAAAAAAAAAAAGTCAAATTTTCAGCAGGTCCTAGAGACTGTATCTTAAGATTAAAGTCAAAATAGTTGATTTACACAGAAGGGAGACCATTAACTTGGAAATTACCATAATATCACACTGTAGCTGAGGGTTTTATTACACATACAAAAAATTTTGCTGCCAATTTCCTTTTTGGAGAGGATATTGAAATGAACACTGTGATAAGCCTTATTTTTAAGTAACTAGTCAATTTAGTACTTTAATGCATGTAGATGGTACCGAATTCACTGCAGAACTGCACTCAAAACAAAAACGGCATAATTCAGATGAGGAAAAAACATGCATCTTAAACAATGGTACATGAATCCAAATGTTGTTTACATTTGAATTACGTTAGTCACTACAATTCTAGCACAAAGCAACACATTCATAAGCAAATGTAGCTAGTTAAGGACTGTGTCTGGTCCAATAAATGTGTTACTATGTACAAATTTCACAATTTACATTAACAAATAGATTTAAAAAATATATAATTAATTGTGACATAAATACATATAATTTTAAATATAATATATGTGGTTCTAATATAATAAATAACAATTACTTATAGATAATTTCAAACTATTTTTGTGTTCAGCAGTAAAAGCAGCAGCATAAGAATCTGAAACAACATGAGGGTGAGTAAATAATATTCTTTTGGGGGTGAATTACTCATTAAACAGGTGTTTTGTTTATGTGGAACCACATTATAAATCAAGCTGCTTTAAAAACAGGGTTAAATGATGCTGTTATCACCTACTTTACTGTAGACTAAACTCTGAGATCTGGAATCAATCCGAGGCTCTTAAATTAATTAAGCTCAATTACTGACAAGTCATCAGCGCAATCAACACCACAGCAATCCACTATACAAACACACAGATACGCACACACACACACACACACACACAGAACATCTAACAATTACATTGAAAAATATGAATCTATTGTATTAGATTTAATTATGGATTCATTTTGATGTCCTGTCCTCATATTCCCTCAGTGTTTTACAATGTGATTGGATAAGACATTAAAAAACAACATTGGCAGTCTAACATACAGTCCTGCTTGACTTCACCTCTTTTCTTCTGATTTGCTGCGTGTGTGGATGGAGGAGGTCAGAGGTCGTGGGAGCTGCTCTGAGACGGTCTAGTCCCCTGAGAGTCATTTGGGTTTACAGAGCAAAATAAGGGCTTCAGCTTTGCTCACTGAGAGAGACGGAAATATTCCCATGGCTCGGTCTGTCAACAGTCACTTACGCAATACATTAGCTTCAGGGATCGTCAACCTGTTCTCAAATAGTGCATGGGTCTTCGCAACCCAAGTTTAAGCCCATGAGTTTTGGGTCACCAGCCCGGATCCATTCAAAAAACAAAACCTGAAACCTGCCACAATCCTCGTATTTCCTGCACATCTGTGGCAAAATGGTTCTGTAGAAGAAAATGAAGAGGAATAAGGCTTGTCTCTAACTAAAGACTTGCTTGTGCACTCATGAGAAATCTTTTATCTTTTAAAATAAAGTGAAAACTTTTAAAACATCCTGTAACTTTCAGAATTAAAAACTTTCCAGTACATCTCAGACCAAAGAAACCATTTATGTAGCTAAGCTACAGAAAACAACTCAAACCTTTCCAAAATCAATGAGGAAATCAATTGCTTATCTCACATGCAAAAAGAACTGTAAATAAATCATGAAAAATAAAATTATGGGTGCTTTTTAGCGTGTAAAAATTGATTAGCATTATGTGGACCTCGGGGCAAAAAAATGTAATTTAATTTTTAAAAAAATGATATTAGACCTATTTTAAACAAAGTATCACTTACTGCAAGGGTCCAATATTCCAATAATCAGTTCATCAGGGGACAATAACACGCATATCATATCATAATAGTTCCATATCTAATCCTTGTATGGTATATCTGTGAGGACAATGAAGATAAAGAGTTGGGTGCGTGTTTGAGTTTATGTGATGGTGTGCTTTATACTACTTATACATCATAATTATGAGTTTACGCTGCATATCCTTCAGCAAGACTGACCGGTTGCTCTCTGAGAGACGAAGAGAGAGCGAGAGAGACAGAGACGGTGTGAGTGAGAGAGTGATTTACAGGGCTACTCACTCATGCCCATAATTGCAGCAATAGCACATTTAAAAAGGTCAATTTAAGCCTGGAGTAGCGTAAGATATCTGTGTGAGTGAGAATGTATTATTAAGACTCTTAGAAGGCGAGACGTGTTAGTTTTCCTTTGAACCAGCTGGCACAGAGACAGACACACACGCACACACACACACACACACTCAGAGGCATCTGGCGCAGTGCATCCCTGCGCTCTCTGATCCAAAACCCGCTGACTCTCTCAGTCCTGTCTTGGACACACACACACATAATGTAATGACTGACCAAATATATACAACTTCAAACTAATTTAAAGAAAATTTTACAAAAATCATTCTTTATACTTGCCATTTTCCAAACCTGTAGCCTATGTTGTTATTTTTCAGTGGAACACAAAAGATGATTTTATTTTTTAGTTTTATGCCTTTATTTCGATATGACAGTAGGTGGACAGGAAGTGAAATGTGAGAAAGAGAGGGGGATGGCATCGGGGAAAGGACTCGAACTCAGGATGCCTGAAGTGTCTGAAGTGTCGGTGTGCTGCCCACAAGGTTTTTGGTGCTGACAAAAGGATGATTTTGGGTGAATCTTTAAGCAGTGTTTGTTTTGTTTTTTTGCCCTGTACAACAACGACCATGTTTAACGGTGTCATGAATCCCTTAACCTTTTGACATTTAAGAGGTCATAAAAACATTCTGCAAGTTTCAGAAATCAAAATTTTCTCATTAGTCTAGAAACAGCTTATATTAAGCCCAATCTGCCAAAACAACAGGTTGTGGAATGTGCCACTTTATGATGTAATAGTGTGGCTAAACACCGCCTCTGCAGAAGAAGATCAACGCCTGCTTCTACATCACTGCCTGTTTAGTCCCGCCCACCGATTCACACACATAGTGTAAATTATGAGGGCGGCAAATGTAGGTCTACATAGAAACCAAATGATAAACTTTATTTGATTAACTTTATTTTTAATGAAGTTCCAGACCGCGTCAGTAGGAGCTTTGTCCATTTTTTTTACTTCATTTTACCACAGATTTGTTAACAAACAAGGCACAATTTGACACAGGATTTTCAGAAAGACTGAAACTAAAAGTCGATGCTGTGCTGACTATATTGGATCCGACAGTAATGAAATTGTGTGCCCCTGAGAAACTTTCGCGATCTCAATGGAACACAAAAGTTTTGAGAGCGAACGCAAAGCAACTGTAATATAAAGTTTTCTCCGATCCATTTTTTTCCCCATCACCCTGTCTCTATAGGGAATTCGTAGACCTGCATTCACATTCAGAACCAAAACCGATACGCTGACGAGTACCATCAAGTTTGACGTCATTAGTTTTTTGTGTGTTGTAATCAAACAAAATGCACCAGTTTGAATATCTGTACTTTTATGGTACTTTTATTTCGTTTTTTTGGGTAGCACTTTATTTTACAGTCCTGTTCCACATGTACATGCTATGTACTTATTATACAATTACAATAACTGGGTAATAACTGAGTACTACCTACCCCTAAATCTAACTTTAACCCAGGTAGTTACCTTGTACTACCAGTACTTTCTTGGGTAAGTACTCTAAGTACATGTACTGAAAAAAGAATGCAACCTTTTTTGTCCTTTTTGGAGCTTGTAAGCAGTGAGCACTATGAAATGTTGTTGTATAGACAAAAAAAGTACAAAGATTATTCAAACATCTCATTTATGTACCACTAAAAAAAGCAGCATATGGGTAATTAAATACTGACAATATTCATTTTTGGGTATTCCTTTAACTCTCATCTCATCTGCATTCAGAGACAGCAATAATGTCGTTTAACACAGTTTCAACCCACCGCTTTCTTTTTCCACTCTCAAAAGTGAGAAACAATGATAAAGAACAACAAAATAGACGAGAGAAGACATGAAAAGAAGGAAGGAAGGAGCAGAGAGGCAAAAATGAGGAGTAAATGAGAGGAGGAGTGGAGAGATGGAAGGATGAAGACAGGAGAGGTGAGCCGTGCGTCTCCTCTGGATGACAGTCACGATAATTCAATTTTCTGTGATGGGTGCACAAACGGGGCCACGAGCCAATCAAATTACAGCGAGCCGCTCAAGGGACAGAACCTCCCGATCTCTGTGACCTTACTTTTATGCCCAGTCTGTCTGTAACCAAGGTAACAGGA